CTTGACAAAATGTCTACTTGCCAAGCACCCTGACCTCGCTTATACTTTATCCAGGAGAATGTGTATCTTTACTGGTGGGGGGTGCACGATTCTCGTGGTCTTGGTCGCCTCAAAAGGTGGTTCCATCCAGTGCAAAGCGGATTACTACCCACACACCACCTTGTGCATATCAGTCACGTATGATTCCCTACATAACTAGACAGGAATACTGCTACTCTGCATGTTGTTGGAGCGTGGACCGGCTCCGCTGATGAAAAGTCGCTCCCACCCACATGCTTCCCGGTCTTAATCTTTCGGGTTTACACTAGGTATAGGGTTTATGGATAGAGCTGTGGGTTGTGCAGAGCAAGCCACCCACGGTACCTTTGTAGGCGCAGGCGTCCTGCGGTTGTCCCCATGGATGCAACAGTGACAGGCAAATCCAGAACTGGATACAGCCAACCATGATTACGTTTACATGACATTTAGCATAAATCTGCGTTTCTCGGTTAGTTCAGATTCGTTGGATGTTCCAAGAAGCACACGATGTGGTCGACACCTTAGAGCCACGCTTCGCAAACTTTTAAGCCGTGGACCCCTTTTTAGTAAAAGCTGGCACGGCGGATTCCTTGAAATATTGTTAACCACAGGACTAGGCTTTATTATAATGAGATTGAAGCGGAGTGTACTGAAGACATTGTTTACTATACACTGGATTAACATGGGTGTTCACAAATGTCAATAAAAAAGAAAGATGATGAATGTAGGTAGATAACGCTACGTACTTTAACGTGTCGGATGAAATTGTTTCTGACATGCAGCGCTGGCTACTTAAATGCTGGGTTCTACTGGGAAAAGCTATAACCTCATGTCTGGTTCGTCTTCAAATCAATTGCAGTATTTTGTTTTGTATATGTGTAGTGTGGTGATTTGGAGAAGCACGGCGACAGTTGTCTTCGCTATGCCAGCGTACTAATCCTTCGTTTTGTACAAGAAATCAGATAGCGACACATTGTGAAACACCTCCTGAAGAGAAGAGTCTGATGTCATGTCGATGAATTTCTCATTCTGAAGAGATGTAAAAAGATGATGATTTATCGTGCAAGTAATTAAGCTACTGACTAATGAAATGCTTTACGTTTTTACTCATCTCGGATGGGGAAATACTGCAACAAGATTGCAGCTGGGTCTTTTAAAAGCTGCACAGTATTATCAGAAAAAACCTCCGGAATATCTGTGCCTCGGCTATTTCTTCTAAAACCTCTTTTAATATCCAAAAGTGTGAAGATTTCCTGCCTCAACACATCACATCACGATGACATTACCACACTACCTTTCTGACAGTTGACGGTTTCGTTCACTCACATTTTAAGTCCCTGCCATAGACAGGTCTCTTCTTGGAAGGCGTTTGTTTTACACGGGTCATTCACAAGGTTAATGTAGACCCTTTGGGGGTACTCGGGACACTTTGAGAAACACTGCCTTGAAGATATCCTAACTGCCATCATCACTACATTTTGCCTACGGCCCGGCCATAGTAAGCGTACAGTGAAGTAGTTTAGTAATCTTTCCATAAGGATACCATGTGTAGCCAACTTTTGCACTCACTGACGAAAGGGGATCAGAGTTGGTCTTCAGTCGTCATTAGTGAGTGACGAGTTGCACTGGATACTTAGTAAACAGTATAGCATATAGAAAAATCCTAAAAATGCTAAGACAAAGCCAAACCATGTCACTAGTAGATAAATTTATCTGCCCCGGTGCAGACAAAAGAAAGTGTACCCATGCGCGACTGAGACTGTACAACTCTATCGAATTACGAAAAATCGAACACATTTAGTTGTGAATCATCGGTGGTTGTGTCTGGTCAGTTAATCGTTTATCCTTGTTCGGTTAGGAATATGTATTGGTGTCATTATTTTCGGGCATACGATGTCTTCTTTTGGCATTGTATGTGCATCGTTTCACAAAAGCACAGGTTTCCGAAATAATCGTCGATACGGGTTTTAAAACACTTCACAGAATCGGCTTCTATTAATCCTTCTAGTAGTGTATTCCATAAGTTTACGATTCTTCGTTCGATACAAAGCTGATGTGATACCTTGTTCATGCAGGGGACCATGAGTTTGTAACGGTGTCATCGGGTGTTACAGAGTGCCTGCAGGTGACATATTGGCCGCAGTATGGGAAAGTGAATCAAGTGTAGTACTCGATGGGTCACAATAAGATCAATTCTTACTCGGCGGTAGGATAGTGTGTAGAGTCCGAGCCTTTCACTACGTTTTCATACGGAGGATTTCGTAGACTCGGTACCATTCTAGTTGCGATATGCTGTATTTTCTCCAGCTTTTCAGTTTCCCACCGGGTTATCGCATGGTAAGCTGGGGTACCGTATTCAAGCATTGGTCTAATGAGCGAGGTGAATACACGACGGACGGTCTCTTTGGACCATGTGGAGAAACTGCGTCTTAAGGCCCAGAGCATACGAAGTCCCGGACAGTACAATTTCTCTGTACTTTCTAGTGATCTCATATCATGTCGAGAGAGCACTCCAGTCTCTGACAGATGTGTTAGGGCGGAGCAAGTGGCCGTCCAAGGTGTATTATTGATTGGAGAGTGAGGAAAGCTAAGTGTTTCACAAAGAGTGTTACCGTTTACCGGTATGCGAATGCATAATGACAAGTAGAAAGTACGAGTGAAATTGCCCGGCTTCTTTTCCTTCAGAAGAAAAGCCACAGCCTACCTATTGGTTCCGCGAAAATGTAACAACGCTAGCGATGCTCGACAACAGATCGTGATGGCACCTAAGATGTGGCTTAGTATAGTTATCCACTCATTAATACGGACTATCGGGTCTTCCAGCAACCGTTAACTAGTGGCGCCAAACAAATGCGTAAGATATCGAACAGTTTTGTCAAGACACGTGGAAGGGCATCACTGATTGTCTCGGAACGTGTGAACTAATAACTGGTTCTGATCGAATTGGCCAGAAGGATGTTACAGCCAGCCTTCAAATACAGTGATGGGGCAGGATCAACAGATACGACCCAAGTATCCAGCCAACATCGGCCCTTATCGTGATCGTGTCACTGAACGAGTTAAGATATCTCAGAAGTGAATGGTTTTTGAAACTTCAACCTCATGTGGCGATGGTGAGATCACCACTGTCGCACCAGTCGGGAGCAGCCACAGTCTGGTTATTCCGTCGGTGTCCCTGGGTGTTCGGGTAGCAGTTGGCAGACGGTAACAAACCTACTAAAGGGCCCAAGCCACGAAAGGGCTGTACAGCAACACGGTTCGATGGCGCAACTGGCACGCATGGCAGATGCATAGGTTAAACACTACTGAGGACACTGTTCAAACATTTACTTCGTTGTTACCACCGTGGGGGACAACAAATGGACGACGCCCGGCTTGCTACTACCGGCGTTGAGGTGCAGTGTGGAAAGTGCCGTGACGCATCGAAAACTGTTTCAAAGCACCGTTTGTTTACGCTCATGCGCACATTAGCATGCACGACCTTGGGCTGGGTCACTCACATCGGAATGTATGGGTCGCGGTATTTGAATACCGAGGTTTGCGCCAATCACTCTTCTTGGCATCGGTCACGCGTTGGCCTTCGCCCGGTCATCACTCGTATGTAGAGAATTTGCACCGGATGCGTGAATGCTATTTGTCAGCTCTGTGCGTGTGTGGTGCATGTGTGCACTTGTACACTCGGGGTGGATTGGTTGACAAGTAGTTAGTTAACTTTCGATTAAAGTCGCTCATTCGCCACCGCAACTAGATCGAACGGATTGCTAGCCGCGGTCGTAATTGCCTGAATTGTCGCTCACACGCACAACCGGTCCACGTGTACGGCCACTGGCCAGCATCGCTAGCAATGGTCTGCCAGCACCCAATTTCAAGCACGCTAACCATCCTGCTCATGTTCAACATTTTACATTTGGGTGATACTCTCGACTGCTTCCAGTGTAACTCGCACCTTCAAGTGGGATGCTCTCCGCTTGATCGGAACCTCTTCCAACCCACCACTTGCCCTAGTGCCGCAGTTTCCTGTGATATACTTGAACAAGTAAGCACTCTCGAAGCGAATAAGAATGCAACTTAGGTGAACTGGTTTTTTTTAACTTGGTCATTGCGTATGTTGATCGCAGACTCTCCAATATAAGGGCTTAAACATTTTTAGGTATTTACTTCTTTGCTACCCACATAGTGTTTAAAAACTTCATTACTTGCTCCTTTCGTCTGACTGTTTATTGGGAACTAGTGTTGCATCTGAATTGGTTGTATCTTTTCTACATAGCTTCGTCCATGTAGCCCCGTAACTGGGAATTGTTATTAGCAACATCCAGCGGTTACGTAGTTGGTGGATACATGGACTCGTTTGTAGGCGCGCTGGGGAGTTCTAGAACGGCCACTGGGGAGATCCAGTTCTCGGTTCAGTGCTGAGCTTCCTAGGGTAACTAAGAAGGATGTGAATATCGGAAGTGGACGGCTTTGGATGTATCTCCTCCATCAAGGTGAACTATACATCATCCATCGGGGAAGTCAACGGATACTTCGGAGGGGTTCATTTAACCACACGGCGCTCGTTGTTTCTATTCTATTCAGGAACTAGTGACTGAATGCAGTTTTTCTTGCCTCTCGTGAGTGAGTACAGTGTTGGTTACATTGGTCATTGAGACTGGAATATGTATTCTATTATGGAAGGGACCGATTTACAACATTAGAATTTCCTACAACTCTTCAGGCCGGTTATCCCCGGATGATCAGAACAGTTGTGTCCTGCCTGATGATATGCACGTTAGGTGTGTTTGGTGTTACATACTTGGTGCCTCGTCGCCACTGCCCAACGTATAAGTTCACTACAGTACCAACTATCTCTACTATCACGTTCGGTCCAACCGCTTCCCCTGCAACTACTGACTCGGCACCTCCGATACTACCACGTATTACACACTTTCCGGCACACCGCTGCTCGTTGCTATTAGATGTGAGCTGGACAGTTTCCGCGTCGGTGTTGGCCTCAATCACTGATTCTATCACCCTGCAGGTTATTCGTTGTTTGGTCGCGTCCGGTAGGTCTGGTTCTTTCGGTTTTACCTGAGGGAATGAACTACTGGTACGTATGATATGTATGCGACAACAGTCTCGAATTACGAGTTTTGCGTCTACCAGACTCGGTATCTATCGCTTTGCAGTATTGTCGCGAACTTGGGCCATCATCCCCCAGGTTCACCAACCACGGAGGCGCATGCGAGTTGGCGGTGCGTTTGTCAGCTCGATCGTGGTTCCCCTTGTATAGGCTTCAGTCGTATTGCATCTGCTCAACACAGGACACAGCTATGCCCAAGCGCCCAGTATGATATAAGTAACGACCCTCAGTTGTTTGCGCCCACGGTTACAGGTGTAAACCTCAAAATGCCTGTAACGTAAGCAACTCGTAGATCACCGGAAAGTTGACAATGCACAGTCGGAGCTGATCTATGATGCTATTTACAAAAATGGAAACATTAGAAAATTCATATTCTAACGGTTCCTAACTTTGTCGAATGAGCAACCATGGTCAAAACAATGAAGCTCGATGTGGAACGAAGCCCACCAGTTCAGCGTCAAACAGAGGTAAAGGTAAAGCAACTCAAAGGGAAACTAGTACACGCCCTACAGAATGTCCGTATAACCGATCAAGCAAGCTGATGAGTACCAAAACTGGGGATCAATAAACTGCATAAGTAGAGAGTGGAAAAATAGATGCCTTGTAGCAATCGAATGAACTGAGCGCTACACTCTCGGCCGAAAAAGCCTCCCGGCTTTTTCACTGGATAGTCATCTCATGTCCGCGCCCTGGCTCTTGCTTATCATGCCGCATCCTTTAGGTCCGAAAGTCACAGTGGTTCATTCTAAGTGGGTAAATCCGAAGACTCGTCTCCCACATTTGACAAACCGACAGCCGGGACTACACTTTAACGCCCTTTCAGTAAACATAGGTTTCGCACATCTCTTTTAAATGAAGGAACCATTCTTCGTTTTGACAACTACTGTCCTGACGAGCCCGTCTGCAGATGTTACGCAACTGTCGGCGAATCCTAGCAGCCACATACCACGTGTGACTGCTTCAGAAGAGAACAAAATCACATCTGATCTGAAATTCCGACTGATGCAGCCACTTTTGCCTTGACTGCAAGTACTCTTTGACCCACTTTTGCCAAAACAACGTAGACGAAATTCACTTGCCGCCAACAGCGATTATTTCCTTCTTGTGAAAAGGACGCCAAGAAATCCCATGCGTTTGGTCGCAGTATCAGCAAATAATTTAGAGTGTGAGCGCGTCGGTCATTTGGGTCCGAATTCTAAGCAGGCATTCTCAATCTTTATTCAAACGTGGCCCTCTCTTGAATCCTTCCAATTCTCGTGGACCCTACCCTTGATCACCACATTTTCTGCAACCCGCAACATCAAAAAGACGTAAATCTTTGATCTACAGTTATCATGTTACTATATTTTGTTATCATTGCTAACTTTTTAATGTCGGTATCATTGCTGTATCCCTCATACACCTCACACTTGATCTTTCACATCCTGAAGATTACATTCATTGTGAAGCAACCTCGTCATAATTAATTTGTTTTCCATTAGTGCTAGCTTTTAAATGTAAAACACGTGATGAATAGAGGTACAGTACGTTCGCAACAATATTTTTGTTGAAACTTTATTGCGAACCTTAAGCTTGATGTTCTTCAGCAAGCTTGCTTATGTTTGGCTTCAGACTTGACAGTGAGAGTCGAAGGTCTAATTCTTGTAATGTGCAGTCTGTTTCTAATTTTTATGAGAGAAACCACTCTGCTGAGTCCACACCCAGTCAAATATGTGGGGGAAAAGCAAGGAAATATATTTCGGCTATTTCCCACAGGTTGGGATATTTGTTAGCAGCATCGGTCTTTATCCAAAAATCCCTGTTACATTGCGTGAATTTAGATCTTACTAGTGTGTCACTTTAAAGCTCAGTGATACTTCCCTGGATGTTAGCTCCAACACTGCAGGGCTGTACATCAAATGGATCCAAAACACAAATCGGGATTTCCATGACAATGAGATCCTGAAACCCGTCTTTTATTTCGTTTCGGATTCGTTGTAAATGTCTTGCATAAACAACCAAGTCTTCATGCTTCAGCTCCTCCGTAACTGTAGTGGGAATTGGAAACTGAAAATTAAACACCTATCGCTACGGATTATTTGGAAATGTGAACTCTGGACATGGCTATTAAGCGTAGCAACTAACTTCCTTTGGTTCCTTACTCCCATTTTCTATTTAACCAGCTACAAAAGGCTGTCTCAAGTCTTCAGGCAGGCATAACAGCGCTGGTAATCATTGCGAAATGAATCTCTCCCACTCCTACATCTTCACGCGGATGGCATCCACATAACTGCGCGCATGTCACTTCAAGGACTTTGCGTTTGGGCAGAGGCCACGCCGCCGTATTTCTCTCCAAAAGTGCTTTAGATAGTGACTTACCTGCAGGCATTCACTGAGGAACTCAAATTCCACCCTGAATTCTTCCAGCCGAGTATTGAACCTCAGATACTCATTCAAGAGCTTCAGTGAATCGCGGACAGTGCTAACCTTCAGCAAAGCAAATATTCCCATTTCATTAATATGAATCAATATTAGAAACCAGTTCAGGGTAAAGAACAATTTTCGGTAAACTTTCATCAGACCCAAACGCTTACATAGCACTAATTGTGGGGAAAACCTCAACTCGGGTTGAGATTGACTTCTGGGCTATTTGAACGATCAATATCGATAACTTGAAACAGGGATATAGATAGTAAGCCAAGTAAACTAAGTAAACATGCATACACAAACCTCAGTAGTCCGAATTAAGCAGGTAAGGTAACAACCAAATAACTGATCAACAGTGCCAGTTGGCCAAGATAATAGTATCGGCCTTATGAATCGTTTTCGTACACCTAACTCCGGATTCCGATGGTGGATGTAGATAGCGTCGGCGATGGATAGGAGCTGTATGCGGAATCCTTGGGATAAGTGTTCAGGTAGTGAGCAGATAACTGAGGTCATTCCCGAAAGCTGTATGGCCACGTTCAAGGAGGTGCGACGTGACTGAACTGTCTGAGGACCTCATTTCGTCTTTATAAAAGCAGGCCGGTATGTGCTCACTAAGCCTCTGAGATAGGCGCCTCGTAGTGCGCGCGATATATATATATATATATATATATATATATATATATATATATCATCCTCCTCATTACAGATGCCAGAAAGAAGTCCATTTCAGGTGTGGAGCAAGGAGGGCGATAAATGACCGTCACTAAGCAAGTGTCCTCACTTTTTAAACGTAGACAGCACCAAAAGGAATCTTGTATCGTGCTGACCTAATCCTCTATGAGCTCACATTGGAGATCGTTGCGGAAGTACAGAGCCACCCCTCCACCTTTGCTGGGTCAGTCGTGCCGAACAATGGGCATGCCTGGCTGTGCGATCTCCATGTCTCTTATGTCAGGGCGTAACCATATTTCCGTTATAGCGAGGAGGTCGCAGGCTTTCGATGCTTGACGTAGCCGCATTTCGGAAACTTTACTCAGTAAGCCTTGAGCGTTGTACATACAGGAAAGCTTCTTGGATGTTAAAAGCTGTTAACTAGGAGCACATGAATGATGTGAATTTGTGCCGCCCGATGGGAGGCCGGCACCTAACCGTTTTTGGGTGAATTGCCAAATCGCGATATGAATGCGATCTATTTTTGGTCTCACTTGTACCTGCGATATGTAGTCCATCGGCAGCCTTCTCAATTGCTATAGGTCTTAGCGCACTGCTTTCCGAATCTGTTGTGATTATATTGAGTCGCGGGTGGTGTCGTTTTCACGAGAGCAGCGAGTGACTGCGGCTCTCTAACTGCTGTCTTCAGACGTAATTCCGAAGGAAGTTTGTTGCGTCGTAACTGTCAGCTGCGGATTAAGTTCACGACCATCAGTTATGGCTGCACCGTTAGTTTCAGTATCCTCTTGCTACTGCCTCTGTAGTTTAGCGACACGGGTAACCGTGTAATCGACTGA